TTTTCATCAAGGTATTACATCTATGATAACGATACTGATTGTTTGCTTTAAGTCGATGTATAATAATTAATATGAAAAAAGAACTTCATCATTTCCATTTTGGCTCCTCGCAGAAAATTAATTCAACAAAATCGGATCGGTTCGGATCTTAGGAATTCACTTCTCGTACGATAAGAAGGGGAATGATGACCTTAACTTTAGCCTGAAATTAAGGAAGCTACAAACAAAATTGGATATGTGGAGTGCTAGAAGCCTCACGCTATTTGGAAGAGTTTTAATAACCAAAACTCTAGGTATCTCACAGATCATTTATTCCGCTTCAAATATTGAAGTTCCTGATACAATCGCAGACACGCTGAAAAGAAAGTTGTTTAACTTTATATGGAAAAAGAAGAAGGATAAGATCAAACGAACCGTGCTTTACCAAGATTTAGAGGAAGGTGGGCTACGCATGACAGATGTAGATCTTATGTTTAAAGCCTTGAGACTTGCATGGATCCCTAGACTTTTGAATGCTGGAGATAAAAATTGGTGCTCTGTGCCAAACCACTATTTCAGGAAAAAGGGGGGCTTAAATTTTCTTCTAAAATGCAACTACGACACAAAGTACTTCCCTCAATTGCCAGCCTTTTATAAGAACATTCTCAAATTCTTTCAAGAATTAAAAATACTTTACGGTTACGACCAGGAAAGTGATGTAGTACTGTATAATAATAAAGAAATTCTAGTAGATGAAACACCCGTTTATCTCAGCAACTGGATGGAGAAGGGAATCGTTTCTATTAAAGACTTGTTGAAGGAGGATGGTAGCTATCTCTCATTCCAGGAATTTAAAGGAAAGTTTTCTTGCAAGACAAACTTCCTCCAGTATTTTCAGATTATTAGTGCCATACCTGACCGGCTACGGTCGAAAGCAAGACAAATAGAATCAGTTAATAATCAGTTTTTCACAAGTAACGATCATCTTTTTCACCTCAACGGAAATTTCACGCTCAACCTTGATAAAGCCAAATCAAGGGATTTCTATAATCTTTTAATTGCTAAAATCCACACTGGAGGTCAGGCAGGTCCTAAAAGATGGAGCGAAATACTTTCTTTGAATGATGAAAAATGGGCAAAGATATTTAAGTCAATACGAAAGCTGTGCAAAGAAACAAAACTAAAAGAATTTCAATTTAAGTTTATTCATAGAATCGTGGTGACAAAGAGAGAACTATTCAAATATGGACGAAGAATGCTGCTTTTGTGGGGAAAAAGACTCAATCGATCACACCTTTATTCACTGTCCCTTTACGAAATCATTTATACAGAAAGTCATTCGGTGGTTTAACACAACGTACAATTCACAGTTCTCTCCAACTACGGAGGAACTTTTATTCGGAATTACCTCCAACTTAAACGAGAATAGTACCACCAAGAAATTCGACTACGTCACACTATTCATGCGTTATTATATCTATAGTTGTAAACTTAACAACAAGCCCATTGTCCTCCACGACTTTGTGAATGCAGTTCACCAAAGGGACCTAATTGAAAATACCGTCAATAACTAGCTCCTGACAAATGCGGTTAAAATATCTCAACTCTCTTTAAAAAATACAAAATAAAATAAAAACAAAATTTAAATAATAAAAAAGTAAATAAATAAAAAACTTAGTGGTACACCTGCCAACAGTGAAACTCTCACCAAAACACTTCAAACAATACTCCTTACGTTCTTTTTCTTTTTTCACTTTTGTTTATAGTTCCTCATTTAATGTATCAAAGTCTCAATGCACAAATGTAATTTAGCAGTAATAGCTTTTCAATCAACGTATTGTATTCGGATATGGTAAAGTTATCGTTTTATGTTATTCATATTGTATTATTGAACTTTATTGTAAGTAGACTAACATCTCCCTTTGGAGAGTACGGCGCAATAAAGAGATCCTATTAAAAAAAAAAAAAAAAAAAAAAAAAAAATTCAACAAAATTCAGGCCCGAAGTTAAAGTTAATCTGTTTGCGATGTTTGCCAAACAATGGCGAATATACTTATATCATTAATTTGAAAATCAAATTTTATCGGTACAAATTATTAGCTTTTAGGCTAAATTGGCAAATTTTGACTTAAAACTTGCGAAAGCTAAAATAAAATCTGCTCTTAGGAGCATTTTAATAACATATCCCTCTCGTTTTTCCATTATCTACTGTCTAACTGAAAACACTCATCCATAAGCTAAGGAAAATTTAATTCACGTTGAGGAACGTCAAATTGTCTATTCCATTTGTGCACTGTTGTATAATTTTAGACTGGGGACTGTTGGAGATGCAAACAAACTTACGAAATTGTAGAAATTTTAGTCGTTCGTAGACATACACTGACAATTCGGCGACTTTAGAGTTCATTTATGTTAATGACGCTGCATGCAACAACACGTGTGCCAGCATACAGATGTGGTACAAACTGGTCAGGCTGGTTGATGACTGCTCATCCTACAGTGGAAGATGGTGAAGTTCCAAGAAGAGTCTGCTTTAGCGATCGCTCTACTGGTTGCAAACTATTAAAAGATATTTCTTAAATTTATGATGTGGGTTGCTCCCAAATTGTATCACTGAAGAATTTCCAGCGTGTCTTCCAACCCCTTCTTAATCACAATATGGTATGGTGTTATATAGTTTGTTTAAAAATGAGAGACATGACCGATCCTAAAGCTATTAATGACCATCATTTTAATGCAAAACTTGTATACTAATGAAGATTCGCTTTCATGTTTTTCTAGGTTGCTTGTTCTTTTTTACGCGGGGCTGCTCAATATTTTTAACATCATCTTAGTGTGACATGCGACTGAACAATAGAAGGGAAGTTTGAACAAAATTTTATTTAAAATTATTAAATTAAGTTAGAATTGTGAGATCCTAATAACTTCTAGTCCTAAAGAATCTTCAGTGGCGGGTCTACACCTTGAGCTAAGGGGAGGCGTGGTTTTCATCCTTCTTCCTTTCTTCTTCCTTTTTCTTTCACCCAAAATAAAAGGGGCGCCTGGGCCCCCCGGGCCCCTCCCCTAGATCCCCCAGTGACCTTGTATTTGAATTTGAATTTAAGACCACGGATAGGTGGTCTAAATGCTGAAATTTTAAACGAGCTTTCTGGGCAATCTTTGTATCTTTGTTTTGTTTTTACTGCTAAGAGCTACAGAAATTCAAAAAATGTAATAATAGAATTGTGAAATTATTTCGAAAAAAGCGTCTGGGAAGTGGTGTTTGTCTCAGTCTAGTGACTCGAAGTTTGAAGCGTACTCATTTAATGTCACTCTCAAGGTCCTGCTCACAATTCGAGATGTTACAGATGTTAATTCATTTGATGTCCTATAACAGTTTCCATATCCGTTCTGGTGTGCTGATTAATCGATAATTTTATGTTTGGTGAGTAACCGATTATGTTGCGTTATTTTTGAGATTATGTTGGGAAAAGTTTCAAGTTATTTTTTATCCTGAACATTTTTGGAGATGTCAGGTGTGTTAATTTTGATAAAATGTAATGACTTCTCAGCCCAGAGTAAAGTCACTCTCATTTGACCAGTGAGGCTCAAAGTAAAGCTTAAGAAAATCTCTGGTCATAGAATGCCAACCGATTGGCAATTCACCTCTATAATAACAATAACCGTAACGTATTAAAGAAAAGGTGTGAGGTGTGCGGTGTAAAGACGTTTAAATTTATTTTTTATTTTACTACATATTGTTTTTTATGTTTTATTGTTGTTTTTAATTAGAGTAAGCCAGCTTGTGCACTCACATTCGTGGTGAACGAAAACGTTATTTACTTCCTTTTGCCGAACAGATGCCATCTACAGGATAAATAATGGAATCCGGCCATGGGTAGTAAATTAATTTACATCCCTTAGCATTAACATAGGCAAAAACTGTAAGAAATGCCTTTATGCAAGGTTTTTTGAATTATTATTTACTTTTTAAGAATTGACAATTGAATTCTAACGATACTTGAAAGATGTTCAATATTAGGTTAATTATTTTAAAAAAATTAAGTTAATTTAGTTAATTGTAAAAAAAAAATTACCTTGTTCTCGTTTCTCTGTTCCCTACACTACGATCTTTTTAAATAACCTTCTCCATTTGTTACTGAATCGTTGTGATTTAAAGTTAAAATCTGTTTTGATTGACTGATCTGTTTTTACTTAACTGGGTTCTGGTTTCATGCATTTTCCTGAACATTTCCTTGTTGTTGTTGTTATTTTCCTCTCGTTATTGATATCAAGTCCACCGAAAAAAATTGTGAAAGCTACTCTTTCGCAATTGCTATCAAGCGAATTTGCTTGAAGTCTTTCACAAAACCTTTTATCAGATGAGTGGTAACGAGAACCTACTCTAGCCTATGGACTACACTGCCCTTAACATTCACTCTCGTGTTTATGTTATGAAAGTCATCTGAAAGCAGTCCGTGTTAAGTAAATGTATCTACAAAGATATACGCAGTTTTTGTTAAATAATCAGATAGCATACACGATGCCCTTCTATTTACAACACTCAAGAAGCTGAGCCACATAGTGACCCAGCTCATATCTTTGGGGGTGAGGGTGAGGGGTGGTTTTTTTTTTCCTACGCCTGTAACGTAAGATAGCGCCTGCTTGTATTCCATTGACTTACGCTAAAATAACTATAGTTAATAATCAAAGCAAAAGAAGAATATATATATATATATATATATATATATATATATAAAAGGCGCGAAAATCATAAGCTTGAGAGTTTGTGCCTTGCAGATTTTATATGAAGATTATTATGAAGATCCTTCGGGCAACTCTCTTCGATGACAGAGGCTATCTGATGAGAATTATCATTCTTATTTAATAAATACCTGTTTGCCACCAAGGTTAAAGCCTGCTGATAATGTTTACTGTAGAGATAACGGGTTAACTACTTCACATTTTAAAAGCCTTATACACATGTACCTACGGTTCGATTTATGAATCCTCTTATTACACAAAGTGTATTTGCTTCATATCTAGTCTGTACCACAGTAGCGCGAGGAACAAGGTGCGTTTAGAAGTTCGTAGATGAAGTAGGATCCACAGTTTTTTACAGAAATTTCTTTTAATAGTTTGCAACCAGTAGAGCGATCGCTAAAGCAGACTCTTCTTGGAACTTCACCATCTTCCACTGTAGGATGAGCAGTCATCAACCAGCCTGACCAGTTTGTACCACATCTGTATGCTGGCACACGTGTTGTTGGCATTTTTGTTCCTGCAGCTCCCACAAAACGATACCATCCAATAGGGAGTTTGTAGTCACACGATTCTGAACCGGGAGGTGTAAGGTAATCTATCTTTCTATTGGCTTCACTCAGGTTTTCATAATGATAGCAAGGATCAACTGCAAAGTGAAAGGAGAATTGCAAAAGGACTGATATTATTAAAATCAAGCCTAAAAGAGATCTATTTCACCTCCCGCTCAAAAACGAGTGCCCTCAAATATTTCAGAATTATGTGTTGACTTAAGAAAAACCCTCCAGAGACAGACACAATCCTGGACCGTAAGGTGTTACGTAAGTTATCTTTCTATTGGCTTCACTCAGGTTTTGATAATGATAGCAAGGATCGGCTACGAAGTGAAATAAAATTTGCAAAAGGACTGTGAGTATTAAATGAATGGTTCAAGATCTTTTCTACTGTGTTATAATTCTGGCAGCTCGCCAATCAGAGATGAAATTTGTACTCAACAAGAAAAATGACTATGCATTAATTAAGGGGTCAAGTAGTACATGTGTAGGATAGCATCACTCCAAGAGGCTAAAACAGTGATATTAACCAAATGAATTCAGCTGGATCCAAATTTGAGCTCCTTCTTTCTCAGACAGCGCATTAAAAGACAGCTCTAGGCAGACTTAAGGCACAACCAGTACCGTTTACATATGACAACCTAATAATATGGCCGACAGTGACCACCTCAGCAGCGTCAGGTTAGATTCGAGTAGGAATATTCTAAATATTACAGCAAAAAGATTAAATTTACCTGTGCATTCTTGACCATTTCCATTAAATCCAGGGCGGCATTCACAAACATAGGATCCGTTGGTGTTCGTGCAGGTAGCATTCACGTGACAAGAGTGATTTCCTTTACATTCGTCAATATCTGAGAAAACGTATATGTACTTTATTATGATTGTCACTTTAAAAATGGGCGGACTCTCAGTCGTGTAATTACTTTGATAATTATAAATAATAAAACAAAGTTTCCTTTTTTGTGTGTTTCACAAATCAGATGTTTCAAACATATATTTCATTGTGAATATTTCAACTTAACAAGCTGACAGCTCTGAAACAACTGGCTTGTTCCTGCAGCTCCCACAAAACAATACTATCTTTCGGGGGTAAGTCATCACAAAACACTGGACCAAATTACGGTGTAGCGTAACTGCTCTTTCTATTCTAGATTTTGATAATTATAACATGGGTCGGCTATTAAATTTAATAGACATTACAAAAAGATAGTGGTTTCAAAGGTAACATATTTTTGTTGAAATTTTCTAATCAATCAGTTCCACAACAAGCAGACAGGACTTGTGTTTTAAAATAACAACTATGCATTCAGTAAATTTTGAAGAAGGATTTGCCTTGGACGATAATGATGTACAAAGGAGTTAAAATGAAGTGATGGCACTGAAAAGAGTTGTTTCCTCTCGCTTAAATCGCCCACCAAAGCCTGAGTTGTTTGTACCTCCACTGGAATTCCCTTTTTTTTTTTAATTTTTTAAATATATTTTCGAATTTGTCATGGATCTGATTATCGATAATTCCCTTTTGTTTTATTATATTTTCGCATTTGTCATGAATCTGATAAGTGAAATAGTTGGTTTCATCAACTGAGTCGATAATGTAAATTGGCCACCGTAAAGAATTACGAAGCTGACGTTTCGAGCGTCAGCTTTAAAACTATAAACGGTGGCCAATTTACGTCACCAACTCAGTTTATAATACTAAATTATTTTTTTATACTCCCCCACCGACGCAGCATCAAAGTTTCTTTAGAAACTTACCCCCTATATTCATCGCTTATTCTATCAATTTACTGGCGAGATAACCCACGAAGGATGTTGTGAGAACACGAGAAAAGTTTGTAATTCCGAGCTGGAAGTGAGTGATTACCTTTTTTTCCGAATGGTTTCCCAACATCTGTCTGTTACTATAATAACATAAATTTTAATTTTTCATGGATTTACAAGTGCATTTAACGATTGTTTTTTGACCAATCAGGGCACTCGTATTATCTTGACTATTTTAACTTGATGATAATAATTTTCAACTTTTTTTCACTCAAATATATCCTAAGCGTCAACAAAACGTAGTGCCATGGAAAATCACTTACATATCCACTCTGTGCACAGGGTTCAGAGCCAAACGAGCGATTTTATTTTCATGCTTCTGTCAATCTTTGGGATAAGGTTAATTTTAAGGCAGAAGCACGCATTAGTCTCCAAAATTGTTCATTTAAAAGTCAGGAACACTACCTAAGAAGTCATCAGCATTAAGGTTACTTCCCACCTTCGGGTGTGTCCTTCGGGAAAAAATTCGTTCGCTAGTTTCACTAAAATCCTAGCAAACTATATATCAGAAGAAAGCAAGAAAATGTAGTTTATGCTGAAAATAGAATTTAAGCGACTTTTC